ATCGCAACAACAACTTGATTTCAACAATGTGTGGTTACCGAGCGAGTGCCACGAGGTAAAACAACGAAACATAATTCGCATGCGCGGTCAACAACGCCCGCTGGCGGAAAGTCTTTGTAATGAGATTCATGTACAGGTCCGAAACTAAGCGATCGTTAGCCTGAGAAAACCCAACAGGCGACATTTCACGGAGGTACCACCACTGGATTCCCCGCGAAATGCCCAGTCGGAATCAATAGTGGCGTCGCGAACCGGGTCGGCTGTTTTCTCAGGCTAAACGACCGTAAGTTATTGTTAGAAGAGAGTTTTTGTGATAATAATTTAAAAGGCTCTATTTAACAGCCTAAAATTTAAGAACTCGTATACCGAGGGTGAATTTATCTTTCTCATTATCATAATAATTGCCATCATCATCACCATCATCATCATCATCGTCATCATCATCGTCATCGTCATCGTCATCGTCATCGTCATCGTCATCGTCATCGTCATCATCATCATCATCATCATCATTATAAATATTGTAATTTTTTTTTCTCAACCTCGTCCCCAGGGCTTCTTCTTTTTTTCACCTTAGTCTACTAGCATTAGATGATGATGAAGTTAATAACAGTAATGGAGGTGGTGATTATGATAAAATGAACGGACTCCAGGGGTGAATTTGAACGACTTAACTTTATTTCAATAGTTTTTAACGGTACTCTTTAATACAAAAGTGAGCAATAACAAACGTTATCTAATTATATAATGAACATGATTTGAAAACAAAGGTTTCTATGCTACGGTCACTAAAGCAGAATTCAGTAATACATGTCTATAACATGAAAATTACGGATATAAAGAGGGCAACACTGCACGAGACGACCAGTGTAGAAGATGTGTTTTTGCCAGCACTCTTTGGAAAGGGGTGAGAACATCTTGATTCTTGTTCAGGCAGAGGGGTAGTGATCTTTGGTACTGGCAATGTTTTGAACGGAGGTTTGTTACCTCGCTGAAAAATAAGCAGCAGAAATTTACATATGATATGGAAATTATATCTGTGAATTTTTTTACGCATATAATCAAAGGAGGAGATTCAAAATTATAGGAATGACGGGGCTGCTGGTAGCCTTCAAACGATTATGTATTTCAGGTCGTCGCTTCTCTCCACCCGAACCATGCAAAAACATGTCTGCGTTTGCAGGCTAAACTTCTCGTCGTAACTTTTAGGGGTCAAAATTTGTGGACTATGGTGCTCTAATCTGGGCTTTTTAGGGATAATTTACAACACCGGTTGGGGGACTTTTGCCAGACTGCTTATGATGCAGTTTACAAGTAATGAGGGAACGAGAGATGATGCCCCCAATGTGGATGTGAATTTGAATTTTAAGGCCCTACTCTTTACGCACACTGTGAGGTTCTTAAACGCCCCTCAGAATTCATTAAAAGCGCAGGTGGTGTGAGAAGGGGCCTACGGAATACCACTTTATACCGATAATGTTTGAAAGACGATCGAGTTATAGCCGAACTGCGAGAAATGTTTCTGAATACTTGGTTAATCCGTTAGTTTTTTTAATTCATTCTTCCATTGATACTTCATTTTTATAAAAACCTTTCGAATTAATAAGTCCAGGACAAATTCTTATGCCGGGACTAAATTTGTATTTAAAATATATCAAAACTGGTACTTAATTTCTTAAAATATTTATAAGTTTAAATCAAAAATGATATTAAATAGTATAGTTCACATACCATGTAGCAGGTTGGGGTAAAGGTTCTGTCTTCACTGTATCCTTTCTTCAAGCTTGATATCATTTCTTTGGTCCAACTAATATCCTCATCTTCAGCAAGGGGGTTATGAAATGGGGACGTGATATTCAGTGAAGGACTGGAAGAAAAAAAAATTGAAACAGAGAGGTCCCTCTATGAAATATCTCAAAAAGAGCGCACCCATAGTAAAGATTTTAACATTTTTTGGCCACGCTAACGTAACACATCCAAGTTGCCGTACTGACGAAATGTACAGCTCTGTAAAACTTGATAGTTCACCAACAGCCTCAAAATATAGTAGTTACGGTTGTTTAATCATTATTATTTACTCTGAGGGGATCAAATAAAAGTACAGTTGAAGAACGAAAAGAAAAAACAAACAAACAAACAAATTAATGCTCTCAATAGAGCCTTCGTCTTGGATTCAAAATAAGATTCTCGCACGTTAGTTGCTTAAGTGTTGGACTTGCTATTCATTCGATCCTATCTAGAAGAAGCCGAGCACAATGGGGAAAACAGTAATGTGAAGTGTGCAGCCGGATTAGGTTTAGCAATAAAAGAAAATATACTCACTAGTACTTGTTGATAAAGTCATGAACTGGCTTGAACTGGGTACTTGTGCAAGAAGTTTTAAGTTCTTTCACCAGCGGGTAGTAAAATATAAAATTAAGGCACATTTCTTGGGAGGTAGCGCTACCACCCTACAAATGATTGCAACACAACAGCCATTTTAACAATATAGAAAGTACATTCATAGTACATAGTAATGTGCAAACGATACTGCATGCAGCTAGAAGTTAGGAAGCTTTACACAGAGTCAGGGCATAGGTTTATCGTCGTTTTTTTCTGACCTGTGAAAAATGCAAAGCTGGAAGAAGTTCTGACAGGAAAATTAGCTGAACAAGGTTCAAAATTGTAGTTTCCTCAAAGCAATTAACAAATGAAGATGAATTTCATTTCAAACCAATTTCTCTCTTTCCGTGACTGCTTTGATTTAATTTAAAAAATAAACATGTTCATCAGGTGTGAATAGGGCATTAGCTAAATCTAGTCACTGGATGGCCACTCGCCACCAAAATGAACGAGATATGTAATAAATTGCCTTAAACATTGAAGAAAGACTCTGAAGGGGTAGCTAGAACTGGATATATATACCAACCACGACTAGCTTGTCACGATCCATAGTTTGGTATTCACAGAAGTGAACCAAGTCATCTCCCTAAGTGTAAAAGTATAATGAGTTCACATGAGTTCATAAGCTAATCAAAAACGAATAAGTCAAATAGTAATATTTATTATGCATCATTAACGCATATTCTACCCAATGGTTGAAGAGAACTTTAGCTGAAGTCTAGTAAGTTGGTTGTGTAGTGTTTTTAAAACATCCATTGCGAATCGAAGACCTTTTCGCGTTACTATAATGCCTTCTTTAAAAGGGACACTAACCCTATAACTCACCTGTTAGACCCTCTAATTTTTTTGTGGTTTCAGTGATCCGTTTTAACTTCATGCAGATCCCTCTCTTGCTTAATTGCAGGAAAATTTTTATCTTTACCCATGCATGGAGCAAAGCTTTAATAAGTGAGATGGGAATTCCGCTTGTTATCAATAAATAACTCGGCTTACCGGCTTAATATGAACTTCTTTCTTCAGCACTTGAATATCCTTGAAAAAAATTAACAGTTTTTAAGCAGTGCTTTAAAAACTTATACTGAACAGTGTCTCCATTTAATTAGTAACATTAATTTAATCGTTTCCAACACTCTTAGTATTTTCATGAAATTCTACCGATTATCTGAGATGTAAATGAAATGACAAGCACAAGCCAAGGAGAGCGCTCTGAGACAAAGGTGATAAAATGCGTTGTTTAAAATTGCCTAGAATAATGAGTACCTGGAAGTTAAAATCGTAGTTATCATCTCGCGCAATTTCTGGTAGTTCAACACCGTTTCGATAGTGTTTGGTCCATGTTGCGCGGCCTGGAAAATCCAACAAGTTTTGTCATAAATAAATATAAAAGTTGAGGTAAATTTCTAGTCAACATGGGTAATCAATAAAGGGTAAAGGAGAAACGCCTCTGAAATTTGCTCTGGATTACTCAGTGCATTAACACCACACAATATATCTAGAGTATAAGGTAAAGGTGGCAAAATTGATTACAGAACGGTTTTGTGAGTATAGTTTTTTTTTTTTTTCGAGAATCAAGCCTTAATTCTCGGATCACTGTACCTTGTAGGTGAGTGTGGAGAAATGCAGCAAACGCCCTGATTCCTCTGCCTGGAAGTTTTGTCGAGCTAAAAGCTTTCTGAAACAAAATAACAAAAACTTGCATTAAAACTTGTAGCAGACTTACATCTACTGCTACAAGACCCTTCTAAGCACTTTAAATAGACAGACTAAAATGTAAAATGTAGTGGACTGTCATTAATTAACGTCTTTCTGTCGACTATTTCCTCCAAAGCTGAGTGACCTATGTGTTTCAACATTACTAGTTTTATTTTTTCTCTTAGATGTTAAACAAAGTGTTATGTACAGGAAGATTTTAAACAATTTTTTTTCCTTACTTCACTGCATTCTTTAGCGCAGTAACCAACAGTCAACCAAGATTCTTGTTTTGGAGGGATGACCATATATGGACTGATCTTGAGGCCAACAGCAAATATACCAGCGTCGAACTCTCGGAGATTAGAGGAGTAGTAAAATCGAGCCCCTGAGCTGTCCTTGCGTCCTTAAATGAATGGAAGAAGGCAATATTTACTAGGACCTGAAATACTTGCACTATGAGCTCTTTTTAAAGCTAAAGTTAGTGACTTAAATTCCATGGCATTCTTGAGGACTTTAAAGCGTCGTCTGCTCCTTAGTTCTCTACAGTTCGTTTAAAAACGTTTAGCACAGCGGTTTCTTGGTAAGGTAATATTTTTAATCCCTTAGGTTTTTATTGACACACTTTGCGGTTAGCTAAACAAATATTGCGTCACGTTCTAATGCTTGCATAGGTGAAACGCACTGGAGTAAAAGTTTCTTGGGCGTCACACACGTCTGTTGTTCCGTCTAGCCTACTTGCAGCCTCTCTTGTTGGGGACAAGAGCGGGGCAAGCGATCGAGAGAGGGGACGCGATCAGTGAACATCTCGCGTGAGTAACACGAAGTGAATCTACAAGGAAACCCTAATTTGAAAGCCTCTCAGGTCACTTTCCCTCAGACGGTCTAACAATTTGCTTGGGCTTTTGTCTGCACGTATGGTGATTGGTAACTGATCAGATTTAATACTATAGTTTTAGTGATCTATACAACATGTTATTTTTATGCCACCATCGATTCTTGCATGAATGAGAGACGTCAAAGACAAGTTATATGTATCCAGGGATTACTAATTAACGATAGATTTTGAAACCATTTTAGTTTTACCAAATGACAAAATTAGTAGGGGTAATTACATTCAAACATAAAACAGAAAAGGCTCTTAATTATTCGTTGGTAGTGACTGTGTTAACTGTGTTACACAATATATAAGTACTTACCCATGATCCCTTCTGGGTTGTCATAGTGAATCTCCAGCAAGTAACTTTTCGGAGTATCTACTGTTCCTATTGGAAAACCAGCATTTTTCGGATAATAAAATGCCTGTGTAGGGAACAAAGAAACACAAATAAAAGAGACTGATGGTCATTTATTGATTCTTAAGCTCCACTGTGTTAGGCTCTTTCATTTGCTTTCGCAATAGGCAACTAAAGCCCCCGGGGGAAGGGAATCCGCATATGAACGGGGTGGGGATGCTCGTCGAAAATTTTGAATTAAACCCCTAAAGGAGACCGATCTGGGCGGGGCCCAAGCTTTTTTTGACCCCTAAAAGAGACCATGTTAAAACACAGAAAATATGTATATTTTTATATTTTTTCGCGTGCAACCCCAAACGAGACCTTCACGGATAAATATGATGGCGTTTTGCCCAGAACACCCTAAGTGAGACCAAAATCCGAAATTTATACCCCTAAGCGAGACGACGAACATCGCCACCCCTTTCATATGGGGAGTCCCCCCCGGGGGGCTAAAGCCTCTTATCGCTTCCCACTAGGACTATTATCATGGTTTTCGGCAGAAAAACTGAAAGACAGGCGTCCCACAGTATTCTATTAATGCCAATTTACAATCGTTTACCTCACCACCTACTCCCCAAACTGCTAACACTTTGCCATAGAAACATTTGAGGAATGGCATGTTGGCGATGTCTTTACGATCAACACCAAAACCGTAATGACTCTCATTATAGTCACCATGACACTCGTACACAAGAAAATGATGGACGAATCCTTCATTTCCCTTTTGAATGTATGGCTCGATCTGCAAAGATAAAAACAAAAGATAGTCAATTTACTCGATGAAGATGAATGAAAGAAGCACGCCAGAACTTTATGACAATGGTACTTGTACAAAGATCACGCCAAGTGATTAATAGCATAATATATAGAGCAATGTTTTACGGTTTATTATCAGAACGAGACACGATTAAACGATGTGTTCCAAGTCATAAAACGTGGTCTTTCACATTGATCGTTCTTTGTTTCACGAAAATTGAGGGTAAGTGTTTTTACTACAAACAATATCCTCCTGTGTATAAAAGAGCTGGAACGCAAACTCCAATCGATTACTGAAAACATCTACCTTGGTTATGTGGTGCTGCGAGGTGATCTTAGGTGCCTTAATCAGTGAGCACCAGTAGGTTGTGTGCTTTTTGGGAATGGTAACCTGTAAGATAATAGTACATGAATTTGGGTTGAGTAAACTTGCGATAACTCTGAAATGTTTACATTTACATTCTTGGCAGTAAATATGTGTTACACATAAAAAAGACGAGGATAAGCATGATGACGATGAGGACGACGAAGATGATGACGATGATGATGATGATGATGATGACGACGACGACAATGATGATGGTGATGATGATTATGGTGGTGGTGGTGGAGGTGATGATGGCGGTACTTTTGATGATTATAGTGAGGGTCAGAGTGGGTGACTTTGGCGCGGGATGATGGCAGCGGTGAATGTGAAGATAATCCTGATTGACAAGTGATTTCAATGAGCTTTTTTCAGCTTTGCCAATGAGTTTCGCTACCTGGTCTATTGAAGTTATCATTTATTTATAACTTTTATAATAATTACTAACCCATGGTCGTTATCAAAGGCATCGAAATCAGCCCTTTCTTTCTCTCGTGTGCAAATCAAACAACATAACTGTAACAAGTACATTCTTGGAGGTCTACGTAGTGTATGCTCTTACATTTTTATTTTGAATTACAAAACTCTTCCATCCTGTCTCGTTGATTTGTTTCTTGTCCATGTTGTTGAGGAGTAATATGCTTCTTGACCCTCTGAAAGTGTGCTGTTTAAAATCGTTTTCAGTCTCGGGATCCTCCGTCTGGTAAGCAAACACCACCTTTGTGGTGCCTTCCTGTGGGATACAAAACAGCCTGGTTAATTACTCTGTCTAGGAATTGAGATAAACAGGTTCTTATGAAGGGTATGATACAACAAATGCAATTTGGTGCAGAATAACATTTAGGTTGAGCTTTAATATGATTGGTTAATGGCCATAAACAGAATCTAAGACAGTGTCTAAAGAGAGCAAATCAAAGAAAGGACGACATTTCTTATCATGGCGTAAAACGTTGTCAAGACTAGAGCCGTTGTCAAACATCTCCGAGTATCATCCACGAAAAAGAGGAAGTAAATGGGAGGTCAAGTTTAGCATTGCAATAGACTTTTTTTTTAATGCATGGCACATCAAACCTGCGAAAGGTATAAAGCCATCAGAGCTCAGAAATTTATAGAAGGAGAGGTGAACTTGATTGTCTTTTTTCACTGCTTTACCTTTATCTTCCTGTCCCTGGAATCGCATGTATCAAACTTTCTGTTAAATTTCAACACAGTTGTTTCGTCAATCTCCTCGAAGCCAGTTAAGATGTAGTTTTGTTCGTTGTCCTTTGGTGGTAACGATTTTGCGTCAGCATATCGATCCTAAACACAATGCTAAAGATGAGTTACTTTTCTAAATCAATGATTGACCTAAATTTGGTGAAAATTGTGTTTGCACAATAGGTTACAGCTGCAGTTTAGACCAAAGTTCTCTTAATGACGAAAAAAAGGCGTTATAAAGCTATTCTGACATCCACTCATGCCTAATTGTTAGAATCATTGGGTAATATTGTTGCGGTTTTCAGATGACGTCACTAAAATTCAAACTTCAAAACTATCGATCCTACTGAGATTTTACTTTCATGGTGTATTAGAGCAGCTGAAAACTAATTTTCAAACAAATTTTCGCTTCAAAAGGTTTCTTGGCTTTGTAATAGAGTACGCTTGAATTTCTAAGCTTTTGCTTGACGCAACATTTACATGACGGCCGAGAGAACTGTCATTGAGGTCAAAAAAGTGACTTTTTTCGAGAAATTTTGCTATCTAAACAGTTCAAGTATTAGAAAAAGTATTACTTTAATATTTATGAGTTACTCTAGGAGTAAACTCACGCTTTTGTAGCAAAACTCGGTAACAGATGTTTCTGTTGGTTTCCGTCCGCCATGTTGGAGCTCATCCGGATGAGCTCCAGCATGGCGTCTCCATACAAAGCTCTATAAATTTGGGTAAAACAGTTCCTCGGATATCTCGTATACGAATTATTCCTTCCACCCAAATCTTGGCGAGGGTCTTGGTATATTAATCTCCTTTCATTTCCCAGATTCTGGACTTTATCTGTTGAATGGTTTTGATTTTTATTTTGATCTATTTTGAATGGCGTGACACTGAAAACCAGCAATAAGTGAACTATTTACAAGGTCATCATCAGGGTAAGAAAATGCCGTCCGTAAATTGCATATTTCATATCCTTAGGTAATTCCCGATGGGTAAAGTTTCGTAACATAGGAGTTAATATCGTCTGTTCAAGCTAGGCCTCAATTGTTGAATCATATAAACCTTTAAAAATGTGTAGGTCCAATCATAGGCAGGATTCTAAAGGTCTGAAGGGGTGAGGGACGTCTCTGACGCCCATTCGCCGGTTCGTCTTTATTTAGGTACCTTATTTAGGAGAGTATTGCCCCTACCCACACACCCACGGTAATATATCACGTAGTGTGACAACTTTTTTCATCCAAGCTATGTAAGTGTTCTCATGACAAGAAATTTTGCTTCCAAATAAAGCTGCTATTGCGTACTTCTAGGCTAACCTAACACTTTGAAAGTGTGTAGCCTACTATTTATCCATATTTATATATCTCACACAAACGGACCCTTCGGCTTTCAAGTGCTAAGTGACTGCAGGGGAACCTGCACAAGGCAAAGTTCAAATTAGTACTTTATGGGAGATTTTTACAACAGCAACTGCGAGTACGAGAATTTTAATCAAAATGGACACTGGCTTTTAGGTAATTAGGGGACGCATGGCCTTAAAAGCTCTTCATAACGAAGTAGGAATATGAAAGTTTACTGTCCCTGAGCTTTAATGTGCCTCAAGTGCTTTAAAGTGAACATCTCCATATTTTTAACCTACCGTGAGATATCCTTTGGAATCCTTCACCCAACCGATAACAACATCACTGCCGACCATCATGCCGTTACCTGAAGAGAAACCGAACCCGACCCATCCAGTAGTCGCCGCCTCAACAGCGAACGATATGGTCTCCTTGTCCCAGTCAACTGTCCAATAGAGTTTCAATAGTTCTGCAGGATCCAACACCGCGTGATGGGCATATTCAGATGAGAGGTTAGCGATGCTTATGGAAAGTAAGGCCGAAAAGGCAACTAGCAGCGCAGGGGACATTCTTTCAGGTGCTCTATCTCGTAATTGAAATGTTCAAATTACTGTCATGCATGTGAATTTGACGCATGTATGAAAACAAAACCACGCATAGTGATCAACGTCACGCGATGTTTCACTCAGTGACTGAGCACCTTTTAGTTTCAAAGTGGTCTTTCAATTAAGAATAGAAACTCCCTCAAGTTTTTATATTACACTCCGTTTCAGTCTTTCAATTTAGTAAAGAACAAGTGTTTCACCCTTGGCAGAGGGAAAAACTGTTATACCAAAATCAAGATGTAAAAATGCAGATTAGTTTATGCCAATCAAAGAAATGGCCAAATGGCATCTGGGGTACATTTCTGCAAGACTAGTCAATTTTTATCATTTACATCAATGACAATTGGATTCATTAGTTAATGTTGCAAACTTTATTATCGTTACAGCGTGGTAGCATTTTTTTCTACTTACTTCACTAAGAGGAATATAAGTTACAATGAAGCTAGATAATGTTCACCAAGAAACTTACGACGTACAATAACACATTTCTATAACGTCTTATAATAGTCCTGGCGACCTATGACGTCAACCAAAATGGCTGCCATATTTGCCTACATTTTGTATTTTAGTGAAAACATAGCTAAATATCTTAACGACTAAAGTATGTTATAGTTAAAAACTGTCTCGATCTCATGCCACTTTTAAGTCGTCAAATCTGGTTCTCAGAGTAGCCCCTGGTCACTACTGAGGGTAAGAGATTCTAATTCAAGATGTCAGTTGAAAACATCGATGAAAAACCTTTGGGTCGTGGTATCGCCCGTCCCGCTTGTGCAACCTCGTTCCCAGGGTTCTATCCTACCCGTCCCTACAGGGCGAGAGAGTACCTGGGAAGGGGGGTGCTTAATGTGCACTCGACGCAAGAAAGTCTTTCTGTACTAAGAATTGTCTGTCCTTCTTTCAAGTAATACTTATTTATATTAATATGTGAATTGGTCTTGCCTTTAGGAAAAACTAATAAATAAGTCATCGTGTTGAAAATCTTCTTCTAGCCTATGAAAAGCTATTTAATTAGTTTTACTGATTTGTGGGGAATAGACGAATCCGTTGTATTGACCCACACTGACAACAAAGTCATATCCTTTCCCAATTAAAACTGTTTCATGGCTTCCTTTTTCGCAAAGAGTAAATGATAATGGCTTATATCTTCTTTGATCTTAATTTATCTACAATGGAGTATCCCAGATATCATTGCGAGACCACAGTTCCTCTACCAGGTCTTTTGCTTGACATGCGTCTGGTCTCACTTCAGGATCTTGTTCAAGGCACAAATGCATCACCTCTTGAAGCTAAAAAAAGACATGTATAAGTGAATTTTAAAAAATGAAAGAAAAAAAATCTTACTATAAACACCTATATTTACATTATGGCCAACTAAATTAAATGTTAGTTTGCTTGCTCTTCTTAAATAGCATTCTTAGTTTGCTAGCCTGTTATATGATGTAGAATTTAAAGGCTACTGAATTATACGTAAACGTGATGTACAGTAAAGATTGCAAACCATGGTTCAAACAAAAAAGCACAAGCAGGTCACAAATAAATATTATTTTTGCTACTTATAGCAGCACTCTTACAGTCATTTGAAAAACTGTATAGTATTTGCAATCATTTGTGTAGTAATTGCAAACATCTGTATAGTACTTGCAAACATTTGAAAACTGTATAGTTGAATTTGCGCAGTATAAATAAATGTTATTAATGTTATTATGATTAGTCATCATTTATAAGAAACTTTTATGAATTAATCCGATCCTGTTGTACTGCTACAACAAGCTACAACTTATTGCTACGAGAGAACGCCACCACTACTGCTAAAGCTGCTACAGCGACTAGTTACCACTCTTACAATGTTTCGTCAATCTCCTCGAAGCCAGTTAAGATGTAGTTTTGTTCGTTGTCCTTTGGTGGTAACGATTTTGCGTCAGCATATCGATCCTAAACACAATGCCAAAGATAAGTTACTTTTCTAAATCAATGATTGAAATAAATTTGGTGAAAATTGTGTTTGCACAATAGTTTACAGCTGCAATTTAGACAAAAGTTCTCTCAATGACGAAAAAAAAGGCGTTATAAAGCTGTTCTGACATCCACTCATGCCTTATTGTTAGAATCATTGGGTATTATTGTTGCGGCTTTCAGATGACGTCACTAAAATTCAAACTACAAAACTATCGATTCTACTGAGATTTTACTTTCATGGTGTATTAGAACAGCTGAAAACTAATTTTCAACAAATTTTCGCTTCAAAAGGTTTCTTGGTTTTGTAATAGAGTACGCTTGAATTTCTAAGCTTTTGCGTGACGCAACATCTACATGACGGACGAGAGAGCTGCCATCTAGGTTGAAAAAGTGACTTTTTTCGAGGAATTTTGCTATCTAAACAGTTCAAGTATTAGAAAAAGTATTACTTTAATGTTTATGAGTTATTCTAGGAGTAAACTCACGCTTTTGTAGCAAAACTCGGTAACGGATGTTTCTGTTGGTTTCCGTCCGCCATGTTGGAGCTCATATGAGCTCCAGCATGGCGTCTCCATACAAAGCTCTATAAATTTGGGTAAAACAGTTCCTCGGATATCTCGTATATGAATTATTCCTTCCACCCAAATCTTGGCGAGGGTCTTGGTATATTTATCTCCTTTCATTTCCCAGATTCTAGACTTTATCTGTTGAATGGTTTTGATTTTTATTTTGATCTAATTTGAATGGCGTGACACTGAAAACCAGCAATAAGTGAACTATTTGCAAGGTCATCATCAGGGTAAGAAAATACCGTCCGTAAATTGCATATTTCATATCCTTAGGAATTTCCCGATGGGAAAAGTTTTGTAACATAGGAGTTAATATCGTCTGTTCAAGCTAGGCTTCAGTTGTTGAATCATATAAACCTTTAAAAATTTGTAGGTCCAATCATAGGCAGGATTCTCAGGAAGCTCTTGAACGGGTGAGGGACGTCTCTGACGCCCATTCGCCGGTCCGTCTTTATTTAGGTACCTTATTTAGGAGAGTATTGCCCCTACCCACACACCCACGGTAATATATCACGTAGTGTGACAACTTTTTTCACCCAAGCTATGTAAGTGTTCTCATGACAAGAAATTTTGCTTCCAAAGCTGCTATTGCGTACTTCTAGGCTAACCTAACACTTTGAAATTGTGTAGCCTACTTTTTATCCATACTTATATACCTCACACAAACGGACCCCTTCGGCTTTCAAGTGTTAAGTGACTGTAGGGGAACCTGCACAAGGCAAAGTTCAAATTAGGTACTTTATGGGAAATTTTTATAACAGCAACTGCGAGTACGAGAATTTTAATCAAAAGGGACACTGGCTTTTTGGTAATTAGGGGACGCATGGCCTTAAAAGCTCTTCATAACGAAGTAGGAATGTGAAAGTTTACTGTCCTGAGCGTTAATGTGCTTCAAGTGCTTTAAAGTCAACATCTCCATATTTTTAACCTACCGTGAGATATCCTTTGGAATCCTTCACCCAACCGATATCATGCCGTTACCTGAAGAGAAACCGAACCCTACCCATCCAGTAGTCGCCGCCTCAACAGCGAACGATACGGTTTCCTTGTCCCAGTCAACGGTCCAATACAGTTTCATTAGTTCTGCAGGATCCAACACCGCATGATGGCCATATTCAGATGAGAGGTCAGCGATGCTTATGGAAAGTAAGGCCGAAAAGGCAACTAGCAGCGCAGGGGACATTCCTTCAGGTGCTCTATCTCGTAATTGAAATGTTCAAATTACTGTCATGCATGTGAATTTGACGCATGTATGAAAACAAAACCACGCATAGTGATCAACGTCACGCGATGTTTCACTCAGTGACTGAGCACCTTTTAGTTTCAAAGTGGTCTTTCAATTAAGAATAGAAACTCCCTCAAGTTTTTATATTACACTCCGTTTCAGTCTTTCAATTTAGTAAAGAACAAGTGTTTCACCCTTGGCAGAGGGAAAAACTGTTATACCAAAATCAAGATGTAAAAATGCAGATTAGTTTATGCCAATCAAAGAAATGGCCAAATGGCATCTGGGGTACATTTCTGCAAGACTAGTCAATTTTTATCATTTACATCAATGACAATTGGATTCATTAGTTAATGTTGCAAACTTTATTATCGTTACAGCGTGGTAGCATTTTTTTCTACTTACTTCACTAAGAGGAATATAAGTTACAATGAAGCTAGATAATGTTCACCAAGAAACTTACGACGTACAATAACACATTTTTATAACGTCTTATAATAGTCCTGGCGACCTATGACGTCAACCAAAATGGCTGCCATATTTGCCTACATTTTGTATTTTAGTGAAAACATAGCTAAATATCTTAACGACTAAAGTATGTTATAGTTAAAAACTGTCTCGATCTCATGCCACTTTTAAGTCGTCAAATCTGGTTCTCAGAGTAGCCCCTGGTCACTACTGAGGGTAAGAGATTCTAATTCAAGATGTCAGTTGAAAACATCGATGAAAAACCTTTGGGTCGTGGTATCGCCCGTCCCGCTTGTGCAACCTCGTTCCCAGGGTTCTATCCTACCCGTCCCTACAGGGCGAGAGAGTACCTGGGAAGGGGGGTGCTTAATGTGCACTCGACGCAAGAAAGTCTTTCTGTACTAAGAATTGTCTGTCCTTCTTTCAAGTAATACTTATTTATATTAATATGTGAATTGGTCTTGCCTTTAGGAAAAACTAATAAATAAGTCATCGTGTTGAAAATCTTCTTCTAGCCTATGAAAAGCTATTTAATTAGTTTTACTGATTTGTGGGGAATAGACGAATCCGTTGTATTGACCCACACTGACAACAAAGTCATATCCTTTCCCAATTAAAACTGTTTCATGGCTTCCTTTTTCGCAAAGAGTAAATGATAATGGCTTATATCTTCTTTGATCTTAATTTATCTACAATGGAGTATCCCAGATATCATTGCGAGACCACAGTTCCTCTACCAGGTCTTTTGCTTGACATGCGTCTGGTCTCACTTCAGGATCTTGTTCAAGGCACAAATGCATCACCTCTTGAAGCTAAAAAAAGACATGTATAAGTGAATTTTAAAAAATGAAAGAAAAAAAATCTTACTATAAACACCTATATTTACATTATGGCCAACTAAATTAAATGTTAGTTTGCTTGCTCTTCTTAAATAGCATTCTTAGTTTGCTAGCCTGTTATATGATGTAGAATTTAAAGGCTACTGAATTATACGTAAACGTGATGTACAGTAAAGATTGCAAACCATGGTTCAAACAAAAAAGCACAAGCAGGTCACAAATAAATATTATTTTTGCTACTTATAGCAGCACTCTTACAGTCATTTGAAAAACTGTATAGTATTTGCAATCATTTGTGTAGTAATTGCAAACATCTGTATAGTACTTGCAAACATTTGAAAACTGTATAGTTGAATTTGCGCAGTATAAATAAATGTTATTAATGTTATTATGATTAGTCATCATTTATAAGAAACTTTTATGAATTAATCCGATCCTGTTGTACTGCTACAACAAGCTACAACTTATTGCTACGAGAGAACGCCACCACTACTGCTAAAGCTGCTACAGCGACTAGTTACCACTCTTACAACTGCTGTTTTTCTGCAAAACTATATATTAACGGCATAAGGTTATTCAGGAATCTGTAGTCCAATGGACTTATATCAAGGTTCTTAGCTGTTTTGATCCTACACTGATGTCTAGCCTCGCAGACAAGGCTCTGTAAACCTCAATGCACGTGCATACCATATCATAAGCAAGGGTCACGTGAGGTAGAGGTGTATTTTAAAATTTCAATAATCGATCTATGTATATATGTTGTAGTTAATTTTTTGTTTCAGTTAATTTTTATGTTTCTATTGTTTTTGGGTATTGTAATGTATGCTAATGAATTTAAAACGAAGGAAAAATAAAAATTAACTGAAATAAAAATTAACTGCAAAACAACAACAAACAACAACATAATAGTAATACCCCTTCAAGTTCTTTAGAGTCGCGGCAATTCTTCATCAATTCACTCAGAACGAAACCAAACTGAAGTATATTCTTTCCCAAAATGTCCTTCACCGAGCGACCATCTGAAATACATTCAGGAAAATCCTGAGAGACACGCTGAGCGAAGCCAAAACTTCCCAAGACAGCAGTTATTGGAGGCACCTGGAGGAAAACAAGGGGATTAATAATAGCGCTCTAAGCAAAATTGAAAGATATCAAGTAGTTGAGGTTTCCTTCAACACAATTTTGATAAGGATTTCTCTGTTCCCTGGTCCTGAGGAAGTTTAGTCAAATGAGTCACTGACCTACACCATCACAGCCGTTATGCGTCATTCTTTCAGAATGTATTGTCTGTCATGTTAGAAATGTTATAAAATCAAAAGAAAGATGCGAAAATCTATACGGTAAATAAACAATTACTTCAAACTTCAGGAGTTTCTGGCTTTATAAGGCATCCTAATGCTTCTTAACTCACCCTAAATCCTTTGCCTATCAATACACTGGACGTTGTTATGTTGTTATGGACGACGCATTTCTGTTCCAAGTGTTGTATGGCGGAGATCAAGTCCATAGCCACAGCGATAAGGGAGTCCAGATTTAAAACAATCCCGTCACTTATCAAATACTCCTCCAAAGTTGTGTTTGCAGAAAAGTCGAAACACAATAAACTATTAATGGGAAAAAAGAGAAAAAAGATGAAAAGAAAGAACAAGGGGGTATAAAAACCTCTTAATCTAATATATTTTTGGAAGATTAAAAAACATCATTTATAATAGACTTTCAAAAAAGTCCTTCGTCGGATTAACTTGTTATTAACACCTGTCAGGCTAAAAGAAAAGAAAGATTTTAATTACAATGAACTTTTCTTGAATCTTGGGAATTCCCCTGCTTTCTTGTAGTTCACAACACTTTTTTCCGCTGCAAAAAGTAAAAGAAACTCTCAAATGGCAAATACTATTCTTACTGACGATCAGTCGATGAGATTACAGCTACAAGTAATAAGTACAATTAAAATCAGAGCAGCCTTAACATGTTGGTCCAAGAAGGTGTAGGACTGAGCACCCCATAATTTGATACGCCGAACCAAAGGTCGAATATTTTGGAAAATTGCTAAGGCAGGCATTAAGCTCGAAATTCAAGCTGTATGCTAACTAAATGCTTTCGATACTACATTTTCTTGCGTCGCCATTTATTCAACATATTGGAATAAGGCAAAGTATTTGTTATCTGCCAGGGGCGCATACTTTCAGAGTGCCAGCAGTATTTGATTATACTGGGATGCTCCAGTCCCTGTCTAAGCTCCTTCGCCAATTCCACTTCCTTTTTCCAGTCCTCTTCTTTTATCTTTGAGAAGTGCTTTATCAGTCGAACACATGAGTTCTCTTCACTTCCGGAACACGCCACAACAAATCCCTTAAAAACCAAATGAAAAAACCAAGATTAGATTTTCATGAATTGTGTAGGACAACGTCGCTTCTCGTTCCTACTGTAAAGGACCTTATAAATATAAATGGCAACGGTGAGGCATTCACCGTTGCCACAGATAACAATAATATTTTATAAACTGTGTCATACTTTCCAAAAAATAACATGTTTCAGACTCTACTAGTTTTGATCCAAGATAAGGACTTCAATAAAACTAGCCTGCGTAGGTGGCGGCTGTTTTGTTTTGTTTCGTTTCTAGGGGGAGTGTTCGTTTGTGTTTCGTAAAGTAAGGGATACAGCCGTGCGAAAGCTGAACCGAGGTCAAACTAGAAAAGGATGGGGGAGGAGGCAAGGGAAAGAAAACAGACACTCTCCTCAGTCTTTCTCTCGCACCCTCCTCCATCATTTTCTCGTATGACCTCGGTTCAGCTTTCGTGCGGCTCGTTTGACCTCTTAGTTTACGAAATACGAACGGAAAAAAAACACCAAAAAACCGCCTGCTACGCAGGCTCCAATAAAACGTAGGTTTTTTATGCGTCAGTCAAAGTATATTTGTTACAAAAAGTAGCAAACATGACAGAAAGTGAGAATTTCTAAACATTTAACTCAACTCAGCCCTGATGATAATCACATTGAAAAAAAAAAAAAGATAATTAGTCGAGCTTGCTTAAAAGCGAGAGAGACTCAAAAAATGCAAGTGTTTCTGTCTTCTTCTTCCTTTTTTCTTTCGTGTGTGCTCACCAGAAGGGGTCATGGTCCCGGGCGTTCCTAGCGCAGACCGTGGAAACTGGGGATAAGAATCGTGACGTAACCGACGACATATTCAGAGCGCCGATACATGTTTTGTGAAGAAAGCTTAGGAAACTTTAATGCGAAAGATGTCGAGCTTTTTCCGAACAGGTCGGTCCACGAATCTATCGCTTGAAAGAGTTGATTACTTTGGAATAAGTGAATACTTCAGTGGTTGAAAAAACGAAAAATCTTTATGAGCAAAACTTCGATGGTGAGGCTAACGGGTCAGCTGTTGTAGATTTTTATTAAATGAAAATAAGTCTCGTAATGAGCATGCGGTTTATTTTCGGCAATGATTGAAATGACGCGCCATGTTCATCACTTTTTTGCTCTTTGGCAATCATGTAATTTCGCTCAAATCGAGGTCCTTCAATTTTCGTGTATTCATACACGTGTACTTAATCAATCCAGAAACAAATCGACGAATACGATATAAAAAGTAAATATCCTGAAGAATACTCGACCGTCGATAAAGTAGGACGTAAAAAACTTTTAGCGAAGAAATCATGTTTCGTGTAGAACTAATCGCCTCTTTATTTCTTATCTAATCTCCAAGCAAACACCATTAAAGGCAATAAGAGCGTCTGATATTAGTAATGTCATTAAGTTGGGAAGCACTTATAGACAGACAATAGAAATGTAGTAGGGATGTTTAGCCCCATTTTTGTGCAGTACCACATTAACATTGAAGACGTTATGAAGATGCCAAGAAACTTCTTAAATCGGATGATGTCATGTTCCATTTTTGTGATGATGATGGTGATAGTGTTGGAGGAAACATAAAATTGTAGCGTCACTAAAACCAATTCGCCTTTATCACACTGACAGATATGCACTATCTGCCTGCCAAAAGTAAAAAAAAAAAAAAAAAACAAAAAAAGGATACAAATTATTGTTCAGCTTTAGGTAACCAGCAAAATTGATTTGCAAAATATATCAACAAAAAGCATATTCTACTTTCTCTCAACCAATCGGCAAAATCTGTGACGTCGTCTTTTCAAGAACAACGATTCATACCAAACCACAGAACTTGATGTCATCGACATTTAAGTATTCCTTCACAAATGCACAAGATTTCTGCGCAAGAAAGGGGAATAAAATACCCCTATGATACTACTGAATAATATCAATATATATATATGGTTCAGAAGTGCTGATACATATGCGGTTGAAACGCTTTAGCAATCTTTACCAAGGGTCATCCCTTCCCATTAGCACTCATACATATGATATCCTCTCGTTTGCGTCCGTTTTTCCTTTGACGATCAGCTAAAATTTTCATTGCTCTTTCTCTCAGCGTATCATAAAACGTTACTACTACAAAAATTGTGTCACAAGACCCACCACTGACAGAGAGGTTTCATCTGCAAATATGCCTGGTATTTCAACAAGTTTCAGCGCTGACTCGGGTCTCTCACGTTCTAGAATCTCGTCTGGTTTACGGTTGGATTTGTTTGGATTCGTGGTCAGCAACGGCTTCAACAGGACTCCCTTCCATTTTGCTGTTAACGTACAAGAAAAAAAATGTTGACCAAAATTCTTTTGCTAATGTACCGTACGTACAATTTGTTTAAAGAGGAGGTATCGGGTTTTTTGGTGGTTTATTTTGTAGGACTATACTATTTTTAATAGGTCCTTATGCATGCAGCCTTTAGAACTGAAAAGACACCGACCACAGAGCCGAAAAAAGATCACTTTATTACGTAACAAACAGGTAAACAAACGGTAGAGTAGTTTTTACTTTATTCAGACCTACAATGGCGGCTAAGTAGAAAACAAAAGGAGAAAGAAACCAGAATATCCCGTTTGGACGTCAGCTTGGTTATTAAATGGTTTCATGACATTTCCTTCTGGCTTACAGTGCATGTTTTAAGGGATGTGACATATACCGTCAGTTTATTATGGGGAACTGAAAACTTGCCCCATCTTCGCTCAATGACTTACTTTTTCAGCCATGGCTATATAGTACGCATTAACATAACGTACCTTTATCTCTGTAACAAGTTTCCCGCTGAAAACTCAGTGACGGGGTTTATAAGGGAGATTTCGACAAAAAAACGGTAATACAGAGCTTATTAAGGAATGGCGTATTTGTAGGATGCACGCAAACGGAAGTCAGGCCTTTTCCTCTTCACGCTAACATCTAACCTATTTGTATTGCTCGATGTCTGTTGTCTTATAGAGACGATTCGCCCGAGGATTTGAGCAAAACCACTGTACTGCCCAAGTATACAAAAAAGTCCACTTCCGGTTGACGTGCGTCGCTAAAAAAACACCTTTGCTTATTAAATAAGCTTCCTAATAACATACCTTGGGTTGTCTTCGGCCGCCGCATTGTTCGTTTCAAGAAAGAGATAAGTGAATCAATGTGTTCACCCACTTTTCTTTTAACGCGTGGAGTAGAAAATGTGTATAATATTGGATTGAGAGCAGAGTTCACTGGGAGAACAAACACCGCAATCCACACATAGGCTTGTTTCTCAGGATCATGAAACTTTCCGAGCAAGGATAAAAGGCCAATGACGATAATAGGCATCCAACACAAGAAATCAGTTAAGACAATAAGCATCATTCTCTTAGCCATTTTCGATTCTCTCTTCGTGTTTGTTGACCTGACCTGTTTTGCAGACCCCTTGACCCTTAGGTACATTGCTGTATACGCAGTGAGAATATACATAAAGGAGACAAAGTTTAGAATGATGAAAATGCCAACCGCATACTCCCAGCCAGCATGTCTCTCTGTTGACAGTTGAAGAGGAAGGCAAACAGCTGATTTTCCATAAAATCCAACTTCGCGCTTTTTGTCAAAGAAGTAATCAAATCCTAAGGTTGGAATGATTGATATCATTGTTCCAAAAATCCATATACCTCCCACAATAATGAAAGAACGCTTGCGATTTATCCGTCGCATTTTAAACGGGAAAACAATACAAATAAGTCTATCTGTTGTGATAAGAGTCAGCATCAACACAGATATCTCACTTGATGCCATCGAAAGGACCCCCGTAAATGCGCATGTCAGCCCCGATCTCCAATTAACATCATGTTTAAAGTATTCACCTTGCCATTGTACATCTTTGAAGGCAATGATGAGCAAATAGACACCCATTAGTAGATCTGAAAAAGCCAGATTTGTCAGAAGAAATGAATGCACTTTGTTGTCTTCTTTCACAAAAACTCTCAATAAAATAACGAGAAGATTTCCA